TTATGAATATTCATTTGTGCTACATAGCATACTAATATTAATAATGCTTATAGTAAAATCTATTTTAAAATCTATTTTAATTGGGCCCAATGTATTTGAGCCGGACCCAATATATTTGAGCCGGACCCAACCACCATAAAAGGATCTTTGACAAGTTATACAAATCAGTACAATTTAGGTTATCGACCAACTCCCGTAACAAAGAAATATTTGACGATAATAAAACTAAATATATATAGGGTGTTCCAATAACTTGGACCGATTTTAAATGTGAATTAAGTTTAAGCGTCTAATGATTTTTTTTTTTTTGGATTTTTTTCTTTCAGATTTAACAATTTAAGTCTTTGGCAATTTCAACCAAGTTATTAGAACACCCTATACAACTCCACACACTGACCCTCTACCTTGAGTGGCTCTTGGGCCTTGTATAGGGTGTTCAAAAAACTTGGCCCGATTTTAAATGTGAATTAAGTTTAAGCGTCTAATGATTTTTTTCTTTTTTCTTTTAGAATCGGTCCAAGTTATTGGAACACCCTATACAACTCCACACACTGACCCTCTACCTTGAGTGGCTCTTGGGCCTTGTATAGTGTGTTCCAATAACTTGGACCGATTTTAAATGTGAATTAAGTTTAAGCGTCTAATGATTTCTTTTTTCTTTTTCCTTCAGATGTAGCAACTTAAGTCTTTGGCAATAAATAAAAAGCTAAATGTTACAATTAAGAACAAGAATTTTCACACTAAAAAACCATTGTCTGTCTATAAGATCAGATTCATGGAGTTCTACGACGGAGATCTGCGGGCGTTATATCAAGCAAGTGTTCGGTGTGAGTGTGAGTCTTTGGGCGTGTTGGACCTAAGAGGGAAAAGACGAGCATTAGGTCTGTTCTCTTTTTGTCTTGTCTTAGCTGAGGAGGAAGTGACGTAGGGTGTTTCCGATTGGTCGCTTGCTATTTCAAGATCAGTAGTGGCAGTTATTTAATATGTCCGTTGTTATGGGCTTGTTGGAAATTTGCTTCAGGATCGCTTGCCGGAATAGGTATTGTTCTGGTAGGGTCTCTAGGGTGAACTGGTATGATGTTGAAAGACCTGATAAATCTCATGACCCCAAGACATAACATCACTGATGAGGATTTTCCTGCGCACCCGTTGGAGTGTATTCATAACAAACAAATGCATACAGGGACTGTTAAACGTAATGCCTGACATCATTCTTTCCCTAAATTTAATTTATTTATTCTGGTTAAATTTTGTTTTCATCAAAATTTTAAATTTATCTCCTAAAAGTATTACAATGTAACGTTAGAAATTCAATTTTGTTCTTTTATATATATATATATATATATATATATATATATATATATATATATATGGTGGGTTTCTTAAAAATTAAATTTTCAACTTTTTATCATAAATAAGATATTTAAATTGTCCTCAACTTTTCAAAAAAATACAATGTTTGTTACAAATAAATTAAAATTACTGTTTGTTAAGCGTCCTTATACGCGGACGTATATAGGGAACGTAATATAATATGAAATTTATTTATTTTAACAAACAGTAAATGATGAAAATTGAGGCACTATTTTGTAAAAATAAAAATATCTATAAAAAAACACCGGATTTTATATCTTACTGTTCTTTTTTTTTATATACATATATATATATATATATATATATATATATATATATATATATATATATATATATATATATATTATAATCCGTGCCACCCCAAGCAGAGCAGTACAGCTTTCTTAGGAGCTGACCTAGAAAGAGTCTTTCGATTTCATGTCAGTTGAGAACGTCAGCCCGTGAAGACGCAATGTATATCTTTCCTGGAGGATAGCATCAGCCATGCTGATGGAAGATAGAGAGGAGTCTCTCAGATGCTTTATACCGAGAAGTTTAGTTTTGGAAGCGTTAAAATTGATAAGCCATCTTTTGCCCCAGTTAACAATGAGGTCGTTTTGTACATCAGCTGCCATTTTGACCTTGTCGGATGGATCAGCCTTAGTATCAAGGCAGGAGTAAATGGTAGATGTGACGTGAAAAAATTAATTATATTTTCTTGAGTGAGGTATCATTTTTGTACGTGGCAAAGAGTAAGAAGTGCGCCACGCGAAAGTCCGGCGAGAGGTACGAAATGTAAGTCGCCTCGTCATATTAAAGAAATCTGATCAAATGACCAGGCATCGGAATTTTTTGCGTGCTGATAACTTTTCAACCCCCCCTCTCTCTCTGTCTCTGTGCGTGCGTGTGTGTGGATGTCTGGTGAGAGGTACGAGATGTCATCATCTCGTCAGTTGGAGGCAAATCTGTTAAAGAGACAATCACGTGTATTCGGGACCGGTATTTCCTCTCACACAGAGAACGAGAATGGCTGACGTGATGATGACGAAAACAAATTAAAACCGCGGAAAAGGGGCGTTGATCACTGACGCAAAACGTGGGGCAGAATTTCTTGGTCGAAACGTCGCCTGATCCTTCCGATCCATTTACATTCAACAGTCGCAGGTGGTGGTGGAGACTTTCGAAATGAATATCCTGGAGAGGCAACGTCTGAGGTAAATATTGCCGTTATTACGGGTCTTGCTTTCCGAGAACAAAGTTTCTTCGTTGTCTTTCGATTTACACCATCTCGTATTTCTTGACGCAAATCACGTGCTACAGCAACCAGGCAGCCATTTTCCCGCTCAAAATATTAACGAATGAAATTTAATAAAGGTTTTCAAACTCGCAGACAATAACGAGTGACCTTTTTCAAGGATTTCGTCAGAGCTCATGAATTTCATCGCCAAATCCAAATGATTTCCCAGATCCAGCCATAACGATATTTGCGACGGACGGAAGGATTATTCGCTCGATTCTGGGATTATCTACAGGAGATTCTGAGGTGCCTGCAAGGCTTCAGGTCACGAATCATACGAATTACAGCTTCGTGAAAGATTTGGGAAGATTGTGAAAAATGTCACAGAAAGGATCGTCATCAGATTTGTCTTCCTTTTTCCCTTCAGTCAAATCTACGTTCTTTTATTCTTGCTTTATTTCACTAATTCATTCATCAATTCATTCATTCATATGATTTCATTCATTCATTCTTTCTTTCGGTAATTCATTCTTTTTTTCATTAATTCATCAATTTATTAATTCTTTCTTCTGTCAGTCATTCTTTCGTTTATTCATTTATTCATGCATTTATTCGTTCTTTCATTCTTTCTGTCATTCATTCATTTATTCCTTCCTTCTTTCATTAACTAATTCATTCGTTCATTCTTTCTATTATTCATTCTTTCATTCGTTCAGTGTTTCTTTCTTTCATTAATTCATTCATTCTTTCTTTCATCCATTTATTCATTCTTAATTTCATTTTTTTCATTAATTTATTCCTACTTTCAGCAATTCACTTATTCTTTGTTTCTTTCTTTCATTCATTCATTTAATCATTCACTCTTTCATTAATTCATTCATTCGTTCTTTCTTTCTTTCTTTTTTCCTTACATGCATTCATTTTTTTCATTAATTCATCCATTCATACAATGTTTCTTTCATTAATTCATTCATTATTTCATTCATTCATCCATCTTACTTTCATCCATTTATTCATCTGTAATTTCATTTATTGAATCTTTCATTAATTAATTCTTTCTTTCTTTAATTCAATCATTCTTTCTTTTATTAATTAATTAATTCTTTTATTTAATCATTCATTTATTAAATCATTAACTCATTCTTTCTTTCATTCATCCATTCATTCAATCTTTTTCTTTCACTAATTGATTCATTGTTTCATTCATTCATTATGTCATATATTCATTCTTTCTCTGATTCATTCTTACTTTCTTTCATTAATTCATTCATTATTTCTTTCATTTATTTATGCATTCTTTCTTTCATTAGTCAATCAATTCTTTCTTTCGTTATTTCATTCATCCTTTCTTTTATTAATTCATTCATTTTTTCTTTCGTTCATTGATGCATTCTTTCTTTCATTAAATAATTCTTTCTTTCATTAATTCATTCATTATTTCTTTCATTAATTCATTCATTCTTTCTTTTATTAATTTATTCATTTTTATCTTTTATCAATTAATTCATTCATTTACGCATTCTTTTTTCATTAATTAATTAATTCTTTCATTAATTCATTCATTCTTTCTTTCATTCATTCCTTCATTCATTTGCTCTTTCATTAATTCATTCATTCTTTCTTTCATTCATTCCTTCATTCATTCATTCTTTCTTTCATTCATTCCTTCATTCATTTGTTCTTTCATTAATTCATTCATTCCTTCATTCATTCATTCTTTCTTTCATTCATTCATTCCTTCATTCATTCATTCTTTCTTTCATTCATTCCTTCATTCATTTGTTCTTTCATTAATTCATTCATTCTTTCTTTCATTCATTCCTTCATTCATTCATTCTTTCTTTCATTCATTCCTTCATTCATTTGTTCTTTCATTAATTCATTCATTCCTTCATTCATTCATTCTTTCTTTCATTCATTCATTCCTTCATTCATTCATTCTTTCTTTCATTCATTCCTTCATTCATTCATTCTTTCTTTGTCTTTTAATATTTCTTCTATTTTATGTACCTTTTCTTTGTTTTCTTTTTGTAATTCATTCTTTTTATTTCTTCTTTGTCTTTTTAAGTTTTCTTTCCTTTTTTCATTCATTTTCATTCTTTATCTTTACATTTTTTATTCTATTATTTGCTTTCGTTCATTCTTCATATTTCTTTCTTGCTAAATCGTTTATTTTTTTTCTTTCTTTCTTTCTTTTCTGCTTTTTTCATTCATTCATTCTTCATTTCTGCTTAATATATTTTTCTTTAAAACTTACGAACTCCATCTTTATTTCGAAATCTTTTTTCTTTCTTTTTTCTTTCTATTTACACTTTTTTCATACATTAATTGTTTCTTTCTTTCTTTCTGAAAGAAATATTAATTTTGTTTCTTTAAAATCTACTCCTTCTTTCTTCATTCCTTTTTTTCTATGAAATTAATTTTTCTTTTATTCTCTTTTTTTTTTAAATCTATTCTTTCTTTCGGGAATGTACGCTTTTTTTATTCATTACATTCTTCTTTTCTGACAAATATATTTTACTTTCATATTTGCGACTTCATTCTTTCTTTTTTCCTTCGTTTTTTTTCTTTGAAACTAATTCTTTCTCATTTTTTATTTATTTATACTTTCTTTCAGCGGTGTATGTTTTTCCATTCTTTCTTTCTTTCTTTCTTTCTTTCTTTGTTCCTTTCTTTCTTTCTTTCTTCCTTTCTTTCTGCTAAATATATTATTCTTCTTTCCTTTAAATCTGCGCCATCTTTCTGTCTGTCTTTCTGTCTTTCTTTCTTTCTTTCTTTCTTTCTTTCTTTCTTTCTGTATCTATTTTCTTTTTCTTAACCGTCTTTAATTTTTTTATTATTATTAGCAGTATTATTTGCTTTCGTCCATTCTTCATATTTCTTTCTTGCTAAATCGTTTATTTTTTCTTTGAAACTAATTCTTTCTATTTTTTTTATTATTAATTCTTTCTTTCAGCGGTGTAACCTTTTGCATTCTTTCTTTCTTTCTTTCTTTCTTTCTTTCTTTCTTTCTTTCTTTCTTGTCCAGACCTTCCTTCTGTTCTTTCTTTCTTTCTTTCTTTCTTTCTTTCTTTCTTTCTTTCTTTCTTTCTTTCTTTTCGAGACCTTCCTTCTGTTCTCTTCTGTTCTTTCTTTCTTCTTTCTTTCTTTCTTTCTTTCTTTCTTTCTTTCTTTCTTTTTCTTTCTTTCTTTCTTTCTTTTCTTTTTTCTTAACCGTCTTTAATTTTTTTTATATTTTCTTTTTCATTTTTTCTTTCTAAATTGATTGTTCTTTCAGAATACAAGATTTCTTTTTCCCTCTCTTCCTACATTTGTAAGGAAATATATATATATATGCAAATTGATAAATGTATCAGGTCATCCAATAAGTTCTGTCCGAATTTTAACTTTTTGTTAAAATGAACGAAATTTAAAGAGTATTTTATAATGTCTAATGGATCTGAACATTATTTTTATGTTTAGATGCATTTAAACTGATCAGATTTTATTTCAGAGAACAATAAAATTAAATTTTGTTTGATTAAAACCCTGCTAACATAGAAGTACCCAAGAATCAGTTGAGGCACATAATGCTTTATGAGTTCAAGAAAGGAAACTCAGCAGCCGAAGCGGCTAAAAACATTCACTCAGTTTATGGAGAGGAATGTGTGAATGAAAGAACTTGCAGAAGATGGTTTGCAAAATTCAGAGATTTCACCCATGAAGATGAAGATCGAACCAGACATCCAGTTGAGTTTGATGAAAAGCTTCTTGAAGCATCCCTTGAAGGAAATCCTGCTTTATCAGTTGAAGAAGTGTCAGTGGTTCTCAGTTCAAACCATACAACTGTTCATTGTCATCTTCAACAACTTGGAAAAGTTCCTAAACTTGGAAAATGGGTGCTTCATGAATTGTCTGAAAACAATCTCAAATCCCGAGTTGACATTTGCTCTTCTCTCCATTGTCGCCAACTTGTTTCCCCTTTTTTGGATAGACTTGTGACTGGCGACGAAAAATGGATCTTTTATCGAAATGTTAAGCGTCGTAGACAGTGGCTTGGTAAAGGGGAAGAACCCCAGCCACAGCCGAGAAGGGAACTTCATGGGCAAATGGTTCTTCTCTCAATCTGGTGGGATCGCCAAGGAATAATCCACTTTGAATTCTTACCGCCTAATGCAACAATTAATGCTCAAATATACTGTCAGCAATTAGAGCGTTTGAACCAAGTTTTGAGGGAAAAAAAAGACCTGCTCTAGTGAATCGAAAAGAGGTGATATTTCATCAGGACAATGCGCGACCCACATAGCAAGAATCACGTCACAAAAGATCAAAGAACTTGGTTGAGAGAAAATTCCTCATCCACCTTATTCTCCTGATCTTGCTCCTTCAGACTACCATTTGTTTCGTAGCTTACAGAATCATTTGGAAGAAACAGCTTTTGTAACACAGGAAGAGGTTAAAACTGACATTTGTGAGTTCTTCGAATCAAAGCCAAAAGAATTTTACAGTAATGGAATTAGCAAACTTGTTAATAGATGGAAGGAAGCCATAGATAATCAGGGAAAATACATTGTTGATTGAATCTGTAATGAAATGTAACATTTGGTCCTGCATATATATGCAAATTGATAATATATGTAAATTGATAAATATATATATTTACTAAAATATAAATAAACACTATAATTTCTGTTTTTTTTTTCCTAAAAAATACCCTGAAAATACGTGTACATCATGCAAGACGAATGTAAAACAACGCCCAAGTTCAAGTAATCTTGGACGGTCACGTAATAGGGACGTAGATTTGTATGTTGAATCATTATACTATAATGTTAGCTATCTAATTCAGCCTTTTATAAATCTCAGTACTTAGCTGTTACAAGTATTTCCAAGACTATAAACCTTCCTGGAGCCGAGCCACAAGCTTAAACATGATCTGTTTACTAGCAGTGGCGAAAGCCTTTATGCTCTTGACTAGTATGTAATTGCCACACAAACGAAATCGGACGGGTGATTAATGTAAACAATACGTGGCGCCAGTATGTGAGAGACGCATGGTGAATGTGTTGTTGTATGAAAATGACTTCTTTGTTTCTTAGAAATTTCTTTCCAATATTAAGGTACTGTTATATAGGAATAAAGTGTCGCCGCCGACACTTGAGTTTGAACACAGATCAACAGACAGCAAGGCGATCCCATTATTGAATTAAGTAGACCATTTGATCATAGAGGAAACGCATAAATAGGAAGTCGCGTGATTTTTAATGGATCTGCATTTCTAGTCTATCCTCTATTACTATACGGATCAGCATGAAACTGACAGTCACGATATTGTGTTGATTCCTATGACTATATTGTTTGTATATAGGTGAACTCACCGCATAGCTCAAATGTAAAATCCCAACAATAATAAATCAGAAAATTGACCCAATTGCGTTGCTTATATTAAATTAAGCACAAATAACTTTAGGAAAGGCATGAACCCAACTCTTCTTCCCCCAGCTATGTGCTAATTAGTAAAACTTGCATTTTCTGACTTTAAGTAACCTGCAAAGTGTTGATTTGATTTTGATTTGATTTGTTTATTTAATGGCACATTAATACCTTATGGGCCATTTAATGCCGAAATTTAACTTTCTTTGACGTAATAAAAATATGATATATGTTAGTCTACTTTCGCAATTGAGTACATGGTAGATGATGCTCAGCTTTTATGCATGTACGTGTTTGTGTGGATATGATTACTAGAGACAGTGATGTATGTATTTTATGTTGTACTTTTGTTGAAGTTATATTTTGGAATACAGTCTGATTTCTTCAAGAAACTGTAGGGTATTATACAGATTAATGTCGTGAAAGAGTTCTTTTATGTTGGTTGTTTGATTGGTTGATCTTGTTTAGCGGCATATCAACACCTCTATGGGTTATTTAATGCCAACACAATTTTATGGCTTCAACCACTCATTTTAATATAAGTATATATTGTTGGTAGTTTTAGCATAATATATATATATTTTATACTTTCATAGTGTTTTGTTTTTGTTTGGGTGTTCGCTATTTACCTATAGTTGGGACCCTAACAGGGTGCTACCACCCCGAGTCAGAATCAACCTGGGAATAACAGGAAATAAGAAGTGGTTCCATGCTCCTCAAAACTTCCAATCTCCCGTTTACTGATCTTGCTGCCGGATGTGGTTTATTGCTGACTTGCAAAGGGTTGATAAACCATAAAAAACGAACCTATCAATCAATAAATAATCGAGATTTTATCAGGTTAACTATCGTTATACTACCAAAATAAAAAATGAAAATAAAATAAAATAAATTAATTATTTTAAAAAAGTAAAAATAATTAAAAAAAAGAAAAACATACCAGAAATAAAAATCAAGAAATCAAATTATGTAGAAAGATTTAAATAAAATACAAACAAGGGAAATAACTCTAAAATTATTTTCAGAGTTACTTCCTCTAGACAATATTTCTTTTTCTTATAATTCAAGGGGAGTAACTCTGTTTATTCGGATATTCAGACGTTGTAGTAGTTCTTTATGTACCGTGTCCCTTCAGACGTAGGCGATAATGGCTCTCCACAACTTCCTTTCTCTTGGAGCTCTTAATAAACTTTTTCTTTCTGTTATCTCTCCTAAACCCTGCCCTGCCATTTATTTACTCATGCTCATTATGTTGAGCGTTGTTTTCCTCTGTCCCTCTTGTCCTCAATCTGCCCCCATGAGTATCAGATTTTCCAAGCCCTTCTTCCTCATTATATGTACCAGAAACCTTAACTGTCTCTTCCTGTAGTTAAATATTATTTTCCTTCTTGTTTCCATTTTCTGGCGAACTTCGTCCTTCCTCACAGACGCGCCGTCGCCACCCTCTGTCTGTTCTACAAATACTTCCCTGGAAATTGCTCCGAGGAGCTGCATTCGCTGGTTCCCAGACGTCACGAGTTCCAGCACCTCACGAGGCTGGCATCCCGCTCTCACCCCTTCACTGTCGAAACTCCTAAATATATCCGTCTCTCATAGTCTAATAGCTTCATGTCTCGCACCTCTCGCCTGTGGAACTCCTTTCCCTTTTCCTGTTTCCCTGTGAGCTATAATCTCCAGCTATTCAAGTGTAATGTCAATCGACATCTCCAGTTGCCTTGATCTATCCACTACCCTCATCCTTTCTTCTATCACTCCTATCTGATATTGCTCTAAATTTTCTGTAACCCCTTGCGTCCTAGTGGCTTCCTGCCTTACTTGGGGTGAAATGCTTAAAAAAAACAAAAAAAAAAAAAAATGGCTAGCCAAGTTCGAATTCCGGTCATGATCGTTACTTCTATGAATTAAATAGTAGGGCAGATTGAACTATATCTAGCTGTGGTTGACAACCAATAGAGAAGAAGGATGTTTCTGAAGTCAAAACCGCCATGGGTCTCCATTGTGGCATGTAACTGAACTGTAATTCAGTTCCGCTCAGCAAGGTTGCCGTATAAAACCCGGGTTGAAAAGACACAAATTGGCCTCAGCAGATAGGGAATATTTAGATGCAAGTAGCCATATTGAAGATGTGCAATCACTCTGATTTACAATGTACCTTCAAGTCGAATGGGCTCTAATGATGATGATGATGTTCTCTTAATTGTCGAAGGCAAATTTAACCAGTCTTTTAACTATATACCGGGCGTAACAGCAAAATTGTCTAATTGTTAGATTAAGTTTTGAACTTTTGGATCTTGAAAATGATTAAATATACCTTACTGGAATTCTCCGAAGTTTTTCTAACACTGTTTGGACTCTACTTTGAATAATAAAAATGTATTTAGCGCTGGGTTGAAATAATGAGCCTTCTTCCTGTTGTGACCTCCTGATCCAATTTTCCTCTCTACTATTCCCTCTTTTTTAAAACTTATTCACCATTCTCTTGATGGTTCTTGAATAAAGAATAAGAATGTATTTAGCTCTAAGTTGAAACGATGATCCTACTTCCTGTTGTGACCTCCTGATCCAGTTTTCCTCTCTACTGTTTGTTACCTCTTTTTTAAAACTTATTCCCCGTTCTCTTGATGATTCTTGAACGGACTTTGAAGATGGAAGCCAGATTATGAATGTTGATACCATTACCGAAGGCCTTAATGATCTTTTTCCGCTCGCCATTGCTCAGTTGAAAAGACAGGTGATCATGTATCGTGACTGTGATGTTTTCCGCAAATGTCAGTGATGACCTTTCTGAGTTCCAGCTTATCATGTCATGAAAAAATAACTCCCACACCTCCATCATGTGAGCTTCATT